CCCCCCCCCCCCCCGCCCCACACCCCAGCTGGGGTTTGCCTGGGCGGGGCAGTCCCCCCTCCCACTGTAGACTGGGCTGCATCCCCAGTTAGGCTCGTCTCCCCCTCACCAGGTTTATCTTAAACCAGTTTTGGCCATTTTGAAACTGGTTTATATGCACCATATACCTGGTTTATGTTCTGTTACAGGTTTAAACCAGTTTCTGATCACTTAAACTGTTTCATGTGTAACTTCTGTCCCTAGCCATTGTGTTCCCAACAAAAATTCCATATCTATGCTAGATATAAGTGAGCTACTTGGGAAGAGAATTGCCATTCTGCAAGGAATTTCAACATTTCTATTTATCCCACATCATAAGAAAAAGAATGGCAAGATTTACTATAAACCAAAACTTCTGAACAGTGGTGGTGGCAACCAGGTGCAAAACTGACAGGCAGGAGGGTGAAAAAAAATGGCTGCTGGTGGCATGATGGTAACTGGAAGTCGCTGCTGGTCTGGGTGCCAAGCTATGTCACTGTATGGCAGCTCTGAAATATTTTTGACACCTTGCAACAACATTACTGGAATGTTTCATTGCAATATCACATTGATTTTGTTAGGATGTGATCAGACATGCTTTAAGTGTCAAAATTATAAAGTCAAACTGGAATGGTTTGACTTTATCAACATGTGCATTCCTAACTGATTGAAGGTTGCCTATTTTATCCAAAGAAAATGATTCCACCTTAACATCAGAATGAATTGTTTCAATTGTATCCCACTGATAATTTCAGTAACAGTTCCCATATGTTCCCATTGTGCTTGTTTAGTTGAATGAGCAGTTTCCAATGGTAAACAGTTCTACTGGAGGAAACATTTTCATCAGCTTTAGCTATAAGTAGTATCTGAATTCGCTATAACTAAAATTATGTTTTGTTTTTGCTTTTTACACTTTGTGGTTGCTGTATTTGGCAGGACTTTGTATATACGGTTTCACTGCTTCTGTCATAACTCACTTTTTTCCTTTATTAAAAAGACTTCTCTAGTCCATGAGGTATAATAATGCAGTGGTCCTGAGTTTCGAGGAGCTAAGTGGTGCTGGTTCCCTCATACCACCCTGTTTTCTGAATGCCTAGAGAATTCTTCTGGTCTGTGCTGAAAGAGACAAGCCATAGGGGGGAATTTCTCAGCTAGGCTATGAATACAAGTTAAGCCCACTATACAAGGCTGTTTGCATTGTGTGTATACAACATCCTTCCCAGGCCATTGAGAGAGATGCTGAGAACATTGGGTCGATCCTACAAACCTGTAGTGCCAAGAAAGGCCACAGTGAGTTTGAAGTAATAAAGCCTGCCAGGTTTGGCCTGGCTAGTAGGGGAACAGAGGTCTGTGTTAACTTGTCTGGGAAGAGGTAAGTACTGTGAGGTGTACAGTGAATGTAAGTGCCCGGATCAACCCTCAATGACAAGTTACAGAGTGGCAGACCAGCTATACTGAGGAATTGCACAACTGACTTGAGACCCCTCCAGAAAAAAAAGAAAAATGAAATTATAACAGGAGAGAGAGATGGACAGAAGCCATACTTCCTCCTCTTACATTTTCAGAAGCTGTTATTAAAATAAGACACCGATCATATTCCAAATATTCAAGCTAGAAAAGGTGAAGAGGAATGGGACCTAGGATGTTCAGGGGAATAGTGACCCATGCTTCTAACTCATTTAGAGGTTTTCTAACACCCATCCCACTTCAAAAAAAATCCTGTTGAAAACTTACCACAATTTTACTAATGTTACAGGCAAAAAAAAAAAAAGAGATCATATTCCAAATATTCAAGCTAGAAAAGGTGAAGAGGAATGGGACCTAGGATGTTCAGGGGAATAGAGACTGTGTCTTATGAGACACAGCTAAGAGCGTTTGGTTAGTTTTGGAAGGGTGAGAGGGTATATGTTTGATGTCAAAGAAAAAGCAGAGTTAGTAAAGCAAAAGGACAATGTTAGCACAAGAAAAAAATGATGTAACCTGGCCCCAAATACCTTTTTGATAAAGTTAGAACACTTCTAAACATCATAGTACAGACATTCTGGAATAGCCTTCAAAAATGAGTGGTAGAAGCATGTCACCTAACTGGCTTAAAGATAGAGCTTGCTGAATTTATTAAAAGGACTATGTGGCATGGCAGGGGATTGGATTTAATGACCTAGTTAGATGTATTCCAATGCTATTCTCCTATGATATTCTTAATTCAGTTCTATAGCAGCTCACTGCAAATTTATTCCTGTTTGAGTTCAGTGGGACTGCATATGAAGAAAATTATAATTTAGTATGAATAAAAGTAACTGCAAGCTTCTGAGAGCTCAGCACTTTTGAACATAAGGCCTCATGGTCAGGAGTCTGATTATGGACTTGAGGACCTATTTGTTTGAAGTTTTGGAAATCCTGCCTGGTTTCATCTTCACATCTCTGAAGTCCAGGACACTGTTTTATTAACCTTTTTTTTTCTTTTGAAGATGCTAATGTGAACGTTTGCAAATGAGTGTCAATGGTAGCCCTTTATAAAAATCGTATGTAAATAATCCATTAGAGTGGTCTGTTGAATAAAAATAATATTTTCAATTTTACATTGGCTTTGTTTTCCATAAAATGTTAACTATTTTATTGTGATGGCAGAGTAAATTTGCCCCCCTTATAAACTAATAAAAGTGTGTGTGTGAGAGTGTGTGTGTGCGCGCGCACGAGAGAGAGAGAAGGCCGAGTAGATTTGTCCCTTATAGACTAATCAAAGTGTGCGTGTATAGCTTTGTAAGTGGAGACTCACTTCATCAGTTCCTATGAAAGGATGTGTAAGAAGTCCTTGTGTAGACCGATTGCAGTCCGATTCATTCATCTGAGCATAGTGCAATCCATGAGCAAAGAACTGTAGTTAACTATGTAAGTTTGACAGCATTTTGAAATGACCATTGTTGTTATACTGT